GATATGTGAAATGAATATGGATATTGAAGGCATTGACTCACAAAATTTATTAAATAAATTCGTAATTACCTAGATAGCCAAGTAATACAATACAAACAGGTTCATTCGTATCGACCTTCCCAAAAACATTTGCTCGCGTGCACAAAAATAAGTTACCATCACGAGTACCTTTCCACCACTTCTGAGAGCGAGTGTGATGCATGGCGCACACCCAGGCGGAATGGATCGATGGTAACAAAACCATGTATGCTTGCTCAGTTCAATGGGAATATGTGTTTTGAAAGCATCCCAAAGTTACCGGGTGAACATTCCTACAACGCGCAGGAGCCAAACTTTTGAGTGGCTCAGAAGGTTGCCCATCAAAAGCCCGTCTAAAATATTTTCTCATCTGCAGGTCCTCAGAGGGAACAGTACACTTCTTCGAAACGAGGGGATACTGCGCTAATATGGCTGTTCTTGATTATGCAAAATATTGGGCACTGAGGATGCTATCGTCGTTCAAAGAATAAAAACTCGCGGACGATTTGCCATTAACCCATCTAAGCCCATCCAGATATTCCCCAAAAGGAGGAAGGCTCAGACTACCGGTGATAAGAATACGCAACAATGGAGTAGAGCATAGCATTGACATGCCGCTTCCCGTTCCGCAAAAGCTTCGCACCTTAGTAAGTTGCTACTCCTCAAAAAAGCACTTATTCTGTCAAGAAGTCTGCTCCAGCGCTATTTTGCGCTAGGATCGCAATGTGGCTTGCAGGCAGGGCACGTCATCGTTGTGATGATTACTACGGAGGGGGTCGTATTTGACCGCGAAGGAGGGGGGTCGTATTTGGTCTGAGAAAAATTTTTTCTGATAGTTGATTCTCTTGTTTCACGGACGCTGTAAATTGGGGTGGGTTCGAATGGGGCCACTATTGGGAGAGCAACTGCACAACTATTTCCGATAGGTAATGAAAGTTAAATTCTGACAACCTCCCCCCTCGCTCGACAGCAAAATTTTGGGGAAATTCAGGAACTTCTAGAATTTTCGGAAAAACTGGTAGGACATTAGGGGAAATCTGAGAAATTTTAAATTTTTCTGTTTCACGTTGGGTATATTCTCCTTCCCCCTCCCTCTGCGGACAACATGGCACAGTTGGTTGTGGAATCTTCCCATTGGGGGGGGTAATTTTGGCGCGCCAGGAGATGGGGAGGGGCGTATTTGGGGGAAAGTTTATTTTTATAGTTAATTTTCCTCGTCCCTCCCCCGCCACCCCGAGACGGCTCGCTTACGATGAAGGAGAAGGCGGCGCGGAGGCGGGGAGGGTCGTACAGGACTGCACTAAAAATGCCTCAAAACAATGAGTGTGCCCTGACGGAAAAATCGGCTGAAAAACTGGCAATTTTCGGGAAGAAAAGGAAAAAGTGGCAAGTGGTTGTTAACTCTAGAAAATTGGTAGCTAGTGTGGGTAGGGGACATACGAATGTGGGGATCGTATTTGTGGATGGAAATAAAGGGGTCGTATTTCTCAGAAATGATCACAACACGATGGCGTGCCCTGCTTGCAGGTCGTTACGTATCTAATCATTTTCGTTAAAGCCAAAACTGGAGCTGGAAGGGGGTCGTACCCGGGTCCCCCTTGGGGGAGGGGTCGTACTGACACCTCATTTCACAGATCACGATCCTGTACCCTGCTTTCCTACGTCCTTGTCTCCCACCAAGTTTCCCAGTGAGACATTTAGTCGGGGAGCATATTAGTCTTTTCAGAAATTTCGGTACCTTCAAGATTAATGCAAACTTCACTGAACAGGTGAAATATCGCTGCCTGCCTCCCTTGCAGCTTAAATGCAACCCCCATTGAAAATTAGTCAATAACGCTGTGCCCTCGACATGACCTCATGATGAACAGGAATTTTCAGGATTTCGTCCTCCATGTTCGTACTACCTCACCTGCTTCTTCGCCTCGTGATCAAAATGATGCTTCACATAGATGGACGACGTCGCCATTGGCATGAGACTGTTAATTCGCGTCACACAGCCGTGCCATCGTACCTTTTGCACGTTCATCACTGCAAAAACCTCGTCAGCACTTTTCATCGGCGAATAAAGCATAACTAACAAAATATCACTCACAGTTAAGGGTTTTGTAGAACTTGAAAATCGTCAGCGCAAATGGATCGGGCAGATCACGCAACATCGTCTTGAAGAACCAACACCATTCGAGATAGTTCACTACTCTCCTGCAAAGGTTTCAGTTACCCAAAGTTCCTTAGATAAGTCCTCCATCAGATGAGTCTACGCGATGGCTCGACCGCCGCACGCGTGAACCGAGAATGGGACGGAGTATTCTGAGAGGAGATTTTTATTCATAAAATAGTTGATTACGAAGGGTCATTTGTAGAAGATGTGACCATAAAATGTGACAGTAAAGGGTGAATAATCGAGAAAATGCTTAGAGATTAGATGAAAGAAGTTGAAGCAAACAACCATTGAAAGCTTCATGAGAAGAACGTTTGAATGAGGATTGAAGTAGTTGAGGTGAAAAAAATGAAGGATTTATAGTCCGATAGAAGACTTCTGTTTCGCGTTTCTCCTAGTTTAAAGTGTCGGAAAGTGTTAAAGGCACGGTCTGCGATAAGAAGCCTAGGTGATGTTGCAGAAATGTGGAAGAAAATTCGCCAAGTGAACGTCTATGAAGAGAAAATGCCAAAGGGAACGTTGGAAACGCATTCGTCAGGCCTCCTCTAGCCTCAAACAACTGTAGAGGTAAAAGACCGAAAAGACCGCGCGCTGGGACGATTCCCGTCGGCTGATTCCCAGTAATGAACCTTATGACTCTACAAGAGACACTAAATTCCATGATACTTGCCCGGGAGCATTACTTTTGGCTGGAAGGCCGACTTTGGAGGCGGAGTCTGGAGGCGGAGTCACTGGAAAAAGGGATGTACCACTGAAGCAACTTTGCGCCTTAATTCCTTTACCGTACACTTTCCGCCGCGAAACTGGCACAGGGTTGTCTACTCCGGACTACAACAACCATCCACGCAACCTGTTTGCCATTTCGGCATAGCGTCATCGCGTACGCGTTCCCTTTAACAGCGGTCAGATGGCAAGCCCTTGTTTGGATTATTTTTTTCTTTTTGTTTCAATTGATAGGCGCAGTCTGATCTCCTTCTTCTAAGCATCAATCCCGAGCCGTCGCAGTATCCGTTGTCATACTTCTCCACTTCTTCGGATCCACTGCATCTTCTGCTGTGGCAGTCACTTCAGTGTGGTCCTTCTTGATGACGGTAAACCATTTTTTAAGGCTCGTCGTGGTCGCTTGCCCTGCACTTCGAATCCCAACGCCTTCCTTATCGGGTGTTCCTCATCACTCCTCAGTACGTGTCGCTGCTCTCGCGTCTTCAGCTGGATCGGAGCCGTCTGTGTGACCGCTCTGACGTCCTCGTTTCTGACTCTGTCGAGTCGTGTCCAGCCGCAGGCCCATCTCAGCATTCAGTTGGATGGAGCTGCCTTTCATGGTTCTTGCATAGGGGCCAGCACTCGCTGCCGCAGATCACCGCAGGCTACTGCTGTCCGGTACAGCGTCCCATTTAGTGTTCGCATGCATGGTGACCGCGACATCGCAGTACGTACTTATGTAGCGGCAGACATATGTATCTGCGGAACGTAGGATATTCAGTGTTTTTATTCGAACAGCGAATTCTCGACGAAGACCAAATGAACTGAAAGCGAAATTCCTGGCTGTGCATTGAATGGTTTCCGGGCAGTTTGTCCCCAAGCATCAGAAGAAGCGAGATACA